TTTCCATGGGCTGAGTAAGCAGGAGTCTGTGGCCAGCTGGTGGCAATGACCAAGCACTCTGTGATAGGCTAGGAAAGAGTAAGCCTGTTATAATGACAGCTTTGTTTTGGTGATGGGGCTTTTTTTTTTTTTTTTTTTTTTTTTTTTTTTTTTTTTTTTTTTTTTTAAGCTGAGGAAATCATACCAGAACTTGAAGAAGAGGAACGGCATTGCTGGAAAGGTAAGCTATTGCTGTAGTTAGAAATACTGGTTATTTTATATATGAACTGCTCTTTCTTGGGGCATCTTTTAAGCAAGACAATTTTTATTTGTTATCACCTCTGCTACCCAASACTTGCAACAATTCACAAGTAACTTAGCATGTGTCTTACAATAGTCCTATATCCTATAAATTTTTCAATATTTAATGTATGAAATAATAAGTAAAGCCACTGATAAGTTCAAGAAATCTTGCTCCCCAGTTCTGCAGCCCTCACYTGCTGTTTCCTCATGCTCAGTGGCAGCACTGCTTGTTCTTTCTTTCTGTGTGTGTATGTGTGTTGGTTTGGAGTTTGTTTCAAGTTTAGTGCTGGTTTTGAATGGTCATTTTGGTTTCTTGTGTGTGTCCCTCCCCCGAGTGCTCAGCTAGAGTGGACAGAAGCCAGTGTGCCGAGGTGGATTGCGTTTCTGACTTTTTCCCTTATTTGCTGAGATATTACAAACTCCTGGGGGAAAAAAAAAACCCCAAAAAACCCAACCAAACCACAAACCCAAAAAACACCCTCTTTTTTTTTTTTTTTTAAGTCACATAATCAAGTCCTGAATTACATAAAGCTGCATCAATTCACACCCACTCAGCTGATCCAAGTGCCTGTAAACAAAGCACCAGCTCCCTTGCTCAGAACCACCTTATAATTTCGCTGCTCCTTCATATACTTCTACTGAAATTCAGCTACCCCTTGAGCAGAAGGATGTGCCCAGTGTAGCAAGGAAGATACAGTTATTTTGTGGATTGAAAGCATTTTTTTGAAACAGTGACTTTCTCAGTATCTTGGTTCCTCTTACCCAGAAAGTGGGGTCTGCCTTRTCCCTTGGGTATTAGCTGTTATCGTTTTCCTTGTATTTCATTTCTTGAGGAACATAACGTTTACTTCTGGCAGATGAAATGTAAAATTGTGCCCAAATCAGGGTGGTTATTTTGATATAAAAAGGTTTCTGAGGCAATAAAATACTGARTGTGTACATATAAATGACATTAAAGGACCAACATCATTTTTCCAGTCAGTGACAATGACATTCTAGGACTAGAATAACAAAAATTAGTTTGGCCTCTTTCTTTGAAGGTGACAGATCTASAACCAATCTTGAGCATCAAAAGCACACAAACCACCAGAAAATACACGGGCATTAAAGCATGTAAACTAAACTGTAGCAGTGTAATTGAGAACCAATTTCAAGACTGTATTTCACTTCCAAGGAAATTAGGACATATGGATTTGCAGTGCACAGGAGCAGAAAATGCAGAGCAGGTCCAGCTGTTCTGGGTAAAGCCTGACTGGCCCTTGCTGAAATGATTATGCCTAAAAATACAATGAAATACATATGATGAAGGAGAAAGTGTAGGGATTGGTAACTTGCCCTGATCTTCTTTATTTCACATGTAGTTTTAAGCAAAGTCTAATTTCCTCAGGTAATATTAAACAATTAATAAACTTAATTATCTAGAGAGTATGGATGCCTATTTGCATGGCATGTTAATTGGAGCCTATTCTTTTCTTTGATGCTGAAGATGATCACAATCTCCTGAGTAAGGCATTTGACCACTAGAACAAGCTTTGCACAGCAAAAATAAACAAAAATATGCAAATACAACTTAAAATGAAAAGAAACTTGCAAATGTTGCTTTATTTAGTTCTTACAATAGGGAGGCACTTTTACATTAAAAAAGAAGTGCAGAGGTTTCATTATTAACTATAAACCCCTAAAATATCATTCCATGAAAACAAAGAGAAATAGTGTCTCTGTGAAAAAGTGATTTTTTTTCTTTCATTTCATTTCATTTCTATACAATTTATTACACTTAAACAAACAAAACCTAAACACCCTCCTCCCCCCCAAACAACAGCAAAAAAACCCAAACCTTTTCTTCTGTTCTTGGGGCCATAAGTATTTAGAACCTTGATTACACTTTTGTGTTCCTCCTCTCCTACTTTCTGTGCTGCTTGTACAAGGCAGAGTCTGGCCCAGGGTCTTTCCAGGATTAATTGATGTCAGGGAGATATTATACATAAAGTGATCACGTGTGTATTTGATGTCAAAAGTCCCAATTCAGCTCTGCCTTGTATGCAAAACCAGCTTGTTTCAGTCAAGTTATTCTTCACCTGCATGAAGAGTGTGTGTGCTGGGATGGTGGAAGAGCAGGGAAGGGTAACTKCAGGAAAGGATTTCCTCCCCCCATGGAGTCAGAATTCCAAGCTTGTTTTATGTGCCATCCTAGAAAAGTGAACTAGTAATCAATTAACCCCTGGGTGTCAGCTTCTTGCTGGGCAGACTGGAAGGCTGTGCTGGGTGAAAGTCAGGAGCAAATTCTGTACTCCATTACCAGGTGGCAAGTGAAGTTACCAATAACTTCAGGAAAAGCAATAACRCTGAAAGATGGGCTCAGATTCTGCAGCACTGCTGTACTAACCCTGGCATTCAGTAGTGGAAGAAACCTCACTGAAGTCACTCAGAAAACCCCTGGAGAAAGGCAATCCTCCAAATGAATATTGTCACAATCCATCCTTCTGTACACACATTTCCACTTCAGTGTCTCAAGCGCAGAGCGAAGAGCTGGGGTCAGGAATACAGGCAGATAAATGTTTCTGTGGTTGATGGATGAGAGGATATATTTATACCTTACAGCRATTCTCTTGCTATCTATTTGGTTTGGGGTTAACAAAACCACTAGGTGAGCTGTACAGGGAGGCTCCTGGTTGTGTGAAAATGAGGTTGGAAGTGCAAAGAACACTCAAAGGATGTTAAAGAAATATTGGAAATGCTTGAAAYCAGCACACCTGAGGAAAGCAATACTTTTCTAATTACCTGCTGGTTTATTAAAGTTGGCTGAGCACAATATGGCTTTACATTCTGATGTTACTGGCAAAATTCAGGCTTTCAAGGACATCAGGGACAGAGCTGGAGCAGGGCTTACAAATAAATCTATTCTGGAGCTCTGTGAAGGCAAGTTGCCCTAAATAAAGGGAATTTGATGGACCATCAGACTGTGCTTATGTTGAGGAGTGCTAGGTTTGATGGGAGAAGTATTTGCTGCAATTCCTCAGTTTTACTCAGCAAATTCCAGTTTGATGTCCTGTGATGAAGAGCAGAGCTCCTTCCTTCCAGCCACTTCCTCTGGTTTTCAAAATTGCCTGGGGTGTATTTTAACCCACTTTGAAAGTAAATGACCTGACCTGACCTGACCCAGAACTCTTAAAAAGCTAAGTTCTAAAGATGGAAGAATTAAAGTTGGTCCAGTATAACCAAAGCTGTTTTCAAAAATTGAGCTGCTTAAAGAAACACTTCCATTTTGAAGAAACACTTTACCAACATAGGTACAACCTGTAAACATATTCACGGAGAGCTTGGGCTATGGATTCCAGGGTAATTTTTCCTTTACCAAAAGCACATGTTACAAAACCAGTAGAGATTCTTCTTTGCATGTTATGCTTGGAAAAGTTTACTAAGTCTGGTTTCATTTATATTCTACTACATTAAAATAATTTGCAGCTTGTAACTTTGTGCTGATATATGAAAAAAAGGATATCAAATTGTTTCTAAACAGAAATTCCTAAACTTCTCTCCAAACTAAATATGTCAAAGACATAGCATGAACACTGAAGATAAATCTAGCTTTAAGATTTCCCACTGATATGAATAAAAGAACAYTTGACAGAATTTTGATCTTGATTGTCTCTTTCCAGCTAACAGAGAGTTTTTTTCCTTCATTCTATATRAAAAGGGAAAAACCCATGCTGCTGATTATTTCCCTGACACATCTTGCATTAAATAGTGCAAGGTTCATTATGGCATGAGACTAATTACACAAATTATATCTGAAAGACAAAATGTTAAATKAAGATCGGAATGGTTACGGCATGATCAATGGGCATGAGTGAGATCTGATGTCATTGTGTTTGGAAATGGCTTCATCCAGATCCAGCTGTCTGTTGTTGACCTCCACCTCCATGCAGCCATTATAAAAAGCAGTCACTGGTGTAGCACCCAGAGGAACAACTGCACAGAAAAACATTCAGTTTATTAGGCCAAGGCACGCAAATTCCTATGGATTTTTCAGATCAGTAAAAACATGGGGAATACTCCACTCCCCATCCACTATTTAGTCATGGAAGAAAAGGAGCAATCTGGCAGGAAACACTTGAGTTCCTYTCCTTTGTTTCAAGATCAAGATCAAGTCAGCAAAGCTGAGAAAGGCCAGTAAAATGTTAAATATGCGTTAGAAGGTCATTCCCATCCAAAAACCAAACTCTAGGAACATTTTCCATAGTAGCTTTTCCTCTATTGACAACAGTGAACCAAGAGTTTGTTTCCTGGAGCCCACTGTTCTTGTTCTGTGCTACAAACAGATGTTTCTGGGTTTGGAGGTCACACAAAGAACTGTCTTGCTTTCACCAGGAAACTACTCTAGATGCAAATCTGCAACTTCTGGAATGGGGCACCTCTGGGAACTGCTTCCTCACTGCTGCTTCCAAGTGAATTCTCTGTGAAAGACTCAYTTGATCTGCTGCTCATTTAAGTATTGTTTGGCCTAGGGCACCATCAGGTCATGGATATGCTTCCAGGACACTATTGTTAAACATTAAATCAAGCAGGCATTGTTTTGAAATCTTAGGATACAACTGGCTGCTTACAAGGTAGACTTAATGTGATGTAAGCACCTTCAGCAATTAGAATGAGGGTGATTAGGAGCTGATCTCAAAAGCATCCTCTTTTTTTAGGTGTTAGTTAAGTTATCCCTCCTTAGGAGACTCATTTSGTCATCTTAGGAACAAGAAATCTGCTTCTTGGTGATTTTATTTTGCTGTACAAACAGTCCTGGAGAATTATTCCCTTCTGCTTTTTTACTTCAGTGATGACAACACTGCTGTCAGAGAAGCATGCAAGTTTCATTTAGCTTGCACTGATTGTGTTGAATTAACAAGGGAATACTCCCATCACTGTCATTAGTTCGTAGAAAGGGGTATAAAAATGGCGACTTAGGGGTCTTCATGAAATGCATGAGTTTTTTTTTTAATCAGTGAGTTGGGTTTTGGTGTTATCTTTTGTTTGTTGGGGTTTTTTTTGTTTGCTTGGTTATTTTTTTTTTATTTTGTTAATTTGCATGCCTAAGGTACCTTTTAAAACTGAGAGATGGCACTTAAGGAGCAGCAAGTAACTAAAACTGGCTTTTTATCTCTTTGGGATGCCTGATGCCAAYGTTCTCAAGAATTAATATGTCAATTGCTCTGTGGCTGGCAATGTGCTAAAAAGAATCATTTATGCATCACAAAGATGAGGAAGCCTAAGAAATTACTGGAATCTTAATTACTGTGGCTCTATTAACCTGTTGACTGACCTGTACTAAGTAAACRCTGACTCATTCTCATTCCTCATCAATTCAAGACATGTCAGTCAAATTCATAGAATTTTCTTAGGAATTGTGACTCTTTTCCATAAAATAATAGAGGATACAGAAAAGTCCYACCAGTAGTAACATTGTAACCATGSCACCTTTCCATGAGCAATTTTAACGTTTTAATATCTTGGGCTTTAACAATTTCTCACCTGAGGCAATGCTATTTTTCCTCTTGATTCACCCTGAATTCAAATTATTTGTACATAACTACATGCACACTTCCTAGACAAAATAATCCTTGTGTATGTCTCAAGAGTGTTAACTTGAAGCTTGCTCTGAAMAAAATATTTGGTGTTTCATCACATTCTCTGTTTCATAAAGATTGCCAGTCATCTCTTGCATAATTTTAATTGTTGAAACCATATTCCTGACTCCCTTCTGCACTTCTGACACTTGGATTACTTTGAAATGCCTGCTTCTCTTACATTCTTGATGCAGTTCCTAAATTGTGCCAGATGGTAACATTTCAGAAACATGCAAAGCTCACCCAACTCAAAAATCAAGACATTTTCCAAATTCAAACCTCTAGAGACCCCTGTCTTAATGGCCAAATAATGCTCCTGTTAAAAGCTGGCTTCCTCCAAAGCTGAAAAGATAGGAGAAAACAAGACACACTTGAGGGAAAAAAACCCCTTTTTTTTTTTATAATTATAGGCTTCTCCTAGTTTGGGYAAGGCTGAATACAATCAGACTTGTAGAAAAAATCAAATTAATGAATAGAAACAGGCCTCACCTGGCAGTCCACCCAGGTAGGTGACAACATTTGCCATCATGGCTTGATGCAGGGTTGACAGGTGCTCTGAATTGCTTCTGTCTATGTGTGAATCAACAGCCAGTTCAAGTTCCTGTYTGGTCACTAGAAGTCCAACCTGCACTTTTCTGGGGGTACATAACTTCTTTGATTCCAGCTGTGCAACAGGGATGTTCCCAATGGTCACAGTGATTTTCTAAATGGAAGAATGGCAGATCACCAAAGATGTCACATCTTACYTTAACACATCTGTTATACTTGGTTCTGGTGCACTTTATATTTGCAAGTAGGAGAAAATATTAAAAAGTGGWACCTTCAGCAGGAAAAGCTGATGTGTAACCATCACTTCTGATGATGAATGCCATTCTTAAATTTATAAAGTGAGACTGTTTCACARGGAACAATTTTGGCTGTGGTTCTGAGGTGAAATCCTGTTTCACCTAAAGAGTACCACTACAGTTTTTATTAAAGGTAYCCAAGAGCTCACTACAGGTTATTTTGGGAAAAACCATAGATTAGCCATTGTGTAACTATGCTCTAGCTTGGCTGATGTAAAGGGATGTAAATGGAAACTTAAGGACAACAAAATCTGCTTATAATTTGGAACTAAGATAATGCCATTACTATATCATCACCATTATCCTGCTGTCATATCCCCTTTCTGCTCTGTGCATTTGGAAGGGAAGGTTAAAGAAAACATGATGTAATGGATGTGAGCTAAGATTACTTAATATAATCTCCCTGGCATGAGTGATTAGTGCTTAGTCACTGCTGCAGCAATCATTAACAGAGAGATATTTTTTGCACTTTACTAYATTATCTAATTTTCAAAATATTAAATTGGGCTACGAGCTGCACTGCAAGTGTGAGTAGCTTTTTTTAGTTGAATTTTTCACCCAGCTGGGGGACTTGGCAGCTGCTAGGAGAATTGTAAGATCACCTGTGAGTCAGAGGAGTTAGAGTCCACTATGGACAATGCAAGAGGCACTGTTTCATTAGAAACCAAGGCAAACATAACACCAGTGTCTGTGGATGGGCGAATAGTCAGAGTCACATTTATTAGCCAATCTTCAGCACTGTCAAGATTATCTGTTTTAAAAAGAATAATTGAMATTAGTAAATCCATCTGCTGATGAAAAATTAATAGGGTGTTAAAAATTAGTATTTATTCTMCTCCCCATTGTAGAAAAATTAGTGCAAATTTTGGAAGTTACAGGAAGAAGTATAATTCTAAAGAAACCCAAGCAGATAAAACAAACAAGAAAAACACAGCTAACTTTTAAACCTGGATCTTCAATAGTGCCCAACCTTGGCAAATAAATTTCTGAATGTAAATCATTCCAGAAACTGAATAGATGACACTACTTGGTATCAGAATTTTCATTCAAGCAAATTTCTAACAAAAGTTAAAGGAATCACTGGTGGATGCAGGTGTACAGCTTAGTTTGTGTGGGCTTTTTTATCTTCCTTCTTTTAAAAATTCATCACTTCCATCACYGGTCCAGCAAAAAATATAGGAATAGAAAAATACTTACTATAGTTTATCTGGAATGCTGCCATTCCAGTGCCAGGGTAGAAGGATCCTCTCCCCACTGCTACTAAACAGTGTTTGCTTTGTTTTTCTTGAATAACTTCGTTTACTCCTGAATGTCCCTGGTTCATCAGGTTCCAGGCCCGGATACAACCATCCAGCCGAGGGTTAATCTGTACCACAATGACAGCATTGGGTGTTTGAGTCCAAAGTTGTTAAAATGTTAATTAAAAAGCATTCTTTCTAAAAAAAAAAAAAAAAACAAAACAAAAAAAAAAAAAAAAAAAAAAAAAAAACAAAACAAAAAAACCCCAAACTTCTTTCTGTGGAGTTCCTAACAGTCTTAAGCAATGCTATAGGTTAGAGCAGTGATGCTGGGAGAAAGCAAATGGCAGGCATTTGCTATCTCAGCCTTCAAATGGTATTTCTGATTTARTATTTCCCACTTTGTTGCCAGTGATCTGGACAAAAATTTACTTCAATTTTTAAAGCTCTCTTGTGACTAAAAGACAGCAGTTTTTCTGTAGCAGAAAGACAATGATCACTGATACTATTCCTTGTTCAAAGTTTCATCTTTTCTTTATACCAGAGTACAAAGCAATTTAGGGAAYTGTTTCCTGTTGGACAAAGGGATATTATTGTACTGTTCCATGATTTTTCCTCTGCTTCAGTTTTGAGAAAAAATTGATTTTTTTTTCATTTATTACACAAAAAAAAATTCTAAACTCTCTGTTTAGATTGCCAATTAGTTTGAAGGCTCCTGGACTGTAAAGCAGACAGCTGCAACAACTTGTCTGTACCCATTCCTTGAGGCTGGGAGACCGAAAGAATCATGGGCCTTGTTCAGCCAGGGCTGTTATAAAACATTGTAAAAATGAAAGCTCTTTGTGCTGCCTGCACAGTGAATTCTGCACCTATTTAGAGCTTAGCAAAAGCCAGGACCGGCAACATGAATCACCCYGAAATGCACTCTCAGCAGCAGTGGTGGTGATTTAGGGAATCTTAAAGCTGTATTAGGAAACAGACTGCAGAATCCTCAAAGATTAGACCTGAAGTGCTGTGCTTTTACAACTGAAACCTTACTTAAGGCAGACTACAGAGCCTCACACGTTTATTTTCAAAACAGYGGTTTCATAACCAGATTTTCATTTTCTAAATGGGTTCCATGCCAAGCTTGCTTCTTCTGTGACTCCCGAGAGTACAAAACTGAACAGACAGAGCAGAATCAATCAACATTAGTCTTATTATTATTTAATTACCTGTTTAACAAGAGCACTGCCCACTCTGCGAGGTAATCCTGCAATGTACACCTTGGTTTCCAAGAAACCCTGGGATTGTTTAAAAAGAGTCCCTGGGCTGTTAATACTCATCACAGCTTCTTTAGCTATTTTTACACTAATGCTGTTTTCTAATTCTTCAACTGATATCTGGAATAAAATACAAAGAGTTACATATACACTAAAATGTAGAATATGTTAAATACTAATTACATATGCCTATATGAGGCATTATAATATTTCTGTAAATATCCACTCTGTAGAATAGTTTTAATACAGTCACTATTTACATTGTGTTTAAATTTGATGCTGGACAGCTGTMCATATCCAGGGCCATTTACGGGAGGACAACAAACAAAATCGAACTGACATTAATAACTTGGTAACTCTGTAGAAGGTATAAGTGAGAAAAGCCTTTCATCTCAGGTACGCAGGCTTGAAGAACAAAATTAATTTCTGGTCTAGCAAAAACTTGCTCTAAACACAAAGCATCCAATAATTAGGCACTTGACCATGCAATCACAGTTTTGAATATTCTGCCACTTTCCTTTTCATGTTTAAATTTGGTAATTGCTATGTAGACTACTAGAGGTAATTGTCTCTTCCTTGATTGTTAAAAGACTGTTAAAGATTATTAAAAGGTAGCAGAATTTTCTGATGCAAGGTTCCTGTGTATTTCCTGGTTTATTTTTAAATCTGTGGTTTGAGTATATCCAAGTGTATTTTAAGCCTTTTAAGAGCTGCTCAGTTCCTCCCTACTTTACTTATCAGTATGTTCCCATAGAGAGTAAAAAGAAGGAAAAGGGAGAAGAAAATCTARCTTACTATGTGCCACAGTCCATCATTAATAGCTTTGCCTCCACTGGTGACTTTTGTTCCAAACTCATTCTTGAATTGAATTTCAATCTTTCCATCTCGAAGAGCAAGCAAGATCCATGCTGAGTTGTCCTGGGATTCTGCATACAGGATAACCCCCTCTGCATCGTATGTCCGGAAATCAAACTCTGCTGTAAATCTGAGTTGTGAAGAAGGAATCTTAATAAGAAGACAGGAAAAGTGAAATGCTGTACAGGCTAGGAAAACTCATTAGTAGGGTTAGAGAGAGGTTCGTAGATAATAGCCTTTGGGTGTGTCTGTATCTGAGCAGTTGGGACTTTTGCCTACAGTTAGTTGAAAGCAGAATGAAATATAAGCTGTGTTCACATAAAGCCAGTGAGAAGTTTTCAGGTTAACATCCTGACCTGGGATTTGAAAGAACCTTGGTCCAACTCCCAAATCCACTCTGAGTTTTACTTATGAAGGACACCCCACTCCCCTGAGTAAGGATATAGATGTAATATTCCTATYGGATTTTGTAGGGATGTGACACAGAGAAAACACATGATCTATGATGTGCTTGAGTACAACTGGGTTGCCAAGTATTGTCATAAAAGAATTATAACCTAGAAATTCACTTTGGTTACTGATGCCTTTATATGCCATTTTCTGATCTGAGGATTTGTTGCCTGGATCTAGGTTGAATGTGGGTGTAACTAGAAACTGTGCAGTGGAAGAGAATAGAGTAGATGCAAAGAACWGTGTTTGAGACCAGACAAAATAGATTCAGGGTGAAAGGAGAAAGAGCATTCGGAAGCAGGGGTTTGCTAAGGCAGCTGTAATTCAGAACTGGGGTCGCTGTCATTCGCAGTGCTGCTCTGTGTCCCCTAGATGGGGCTGTCCCTCCCCAGACGCAGCAAAATCTGCTCTGCATTTACACCAGACTTCAAACATTTATCATCTCAGAAAGGTCTTCCAGGACAGCATTAGTGCCTGGTCAACTTGGAACGGCGGCAGAGGAAAGAGTTCTCAGTATTTATGTCCTTCTGTGCGGTTCTGAGGCTCTGGGGATCACCAGCTCAACAGCTGCTGCCGCTGTTCCTTTCCAATTGTTTGGTCAGTAAGTCATGGCACACTGCAATTTCGGCTGCGGCAGCAAGGRAGTCCAAGAGCAATAAAGGGGTCAGTGCCACTGGCAATTGCTCTGCCAGCTGTAAGGACAATCATACAGCTGGTGCTCCAGACAAGGTACTGTGCTCTCAGGTGTCCTTGGAACACGGTGTGTGAAACAAAGCCCAGGAAGGGGCAGGGGAGCAATGGCCTGATTTTATTTCTCAGCAGCATATGCAGAGCATGTCACAGCTTTTAATCAGAGCAGGGGTGAATTAGCAGCAACATCCAAATAAAGGCATTCCCGTATAGAATGGGAAGCTGTRTTGTAATTATTTTCCTATAACCTGTGAACATTATGTTGACAATTCTAAATGCTTTCCTGTTTATTCATTCATTCATCATATAAAGGTATCTTAACCAAGGTGGAGATGGTGATATAATTTATGCATGYAATGCATTCTTTCTAAACCCTCAGAAAATTAACAGACACAAATGTCTGTAATCYCAATGCATATTTTTATCAATGGCAAATGCTTACCTTGTGACATCTGGCAGTTTAAACTTCAAGTAGAGAACGGGAATTCCTATAAATTGCTCTGCCAGGTAAAGCAGTTGGTAATTCTTTTCAAGGTTCAGTGGGATACACTCAGTAACAGGCTGAAAATGGTAGAGAAAAAAAGCTGTTAATGCATTGTGATAGTTTAGGAAGCAACTCCTGTTGTTGGCTGCTAGCTTGTCTTTTTTATTTTTTTTAAGTAATGGCTTACCTCTGGGGTTTCTTAGTTTGTTTTTTTTTTTTTTTTTTACACTTGAATACCTATGTACAAGTGAAGTGGTGTGGTTTTGCTTTTGCTTGAAATGTCCATTATTTAAACTGTTGGAGGATAATCCAGGTTATTATACAACTCTGGTGGACTGAAACTAATATTTAAATACTTAGTTTTTGAATTAAGAATTCAAATCTTCCATCACGCACTGTCCTCTCACTTGGGGAATATATGACACCCACCTTCTAGGGAACTGCCAGGCTCCATKATTAAAGTTCTGTGGAATATAAACTTGCTCAGGTGTCAGAAGGGAATGGACTAGAGCTGTATCTTGGGAAGACTATGTGTTAAAGAGAAATTAAGAAATCATGGTGCTTATTCTTTTGGGTATTCATCTACCTGAAGTTTTAAACAGGGATTTTCTACCCAGGAATAATGTCTACTGTATACACTCTGTGTATGGAAAGAGGTGGGAAGACTCTTCCTCAAGGTTTAGAGCACCTGCCTCATTGACAAGTAGRAGTCTCAAAACCTCTTTCATCCAATGTGAATCCCTCAAAATATTCTGTGACTCACATCTACTCTGACTTTGGTATTCTTGATGCAGCAATTCCATTAAATGTACAGGTGCTCTTCTTGAATTTTATGGCTGCTTCATTTTATGGTTGCTGGTGTCACTAGTCATTAGATTGCATATACTTTAGTTGATTAAACTATTTTTTTTTCCCCAATTAAAAGGCATGAAACTAACTTTGAGATAAAGATTTAATCACTTTTGAACAGTATTGCAAATAAGAACCTCTTCCAGCCTCATTACATTACCATTTCAAGAATGAGCAAAATGAAATAGAATGACTGCCAAGTGTTGTTCAGATATTAAATTTCAAAAAGTACAAACAAGACCTAATACACAGATGCTGGAACTTGTGTCAGATCTTGTTGCTGCAGTTTAAGCCAAATTTTGTTATATTCTGTAAGAAGTATTTTATTGTTGGCATTAATCTGAGCTCACTTCACATAAAACCTCAGACTACTTGAACTTTTCCGAGTATACAGAGAACCACTTGCAAAAAAATCTTTGGATTTCAATCCTTCAATCCCAGTTCTCTGGAGTTTCAAACTCTCTGCTCCTAAGAAGTGTAAATTTTCAAACAGATCAAGAGCAGCCGATTTTGACTCCAAGATGTTCTCCAATTGGCAAGTATTACTGAGTGYTTTTCCTTAAGCTATGGCAGATGAGAACTGTGGAAAACAATCCAGGGCTTTTTCCAAYCCAAACAGAAAGTCTGAAATAGTGAGTGAAAACTTTTGCACAGCTTAAGGAAAACTTAGGAACAGATGGACAAAAGGAACATTCTGTCTCTGAGTAGGCTGAACAGGAATTATTTGTTTGATAGCAGAAAGCTGGGGCTTCTTTTGGAAGCAGCAGAGAATAAAGATGACTGGCTAAAGCAAGMTGCTTTTGACAGGACTCCTGTAAATGAGCATGCATGAGCTGAATAGCATCCAAATCCCTATTGCTTTGTGAGCCAAACCATASATCAGAATCCCCAACATTTTCTCAGAAATTTTTAATCAGTTATCAAATAGCTTCCTATTTTCCTTAATCTAAAACACCTTTTCATCAAAAAAAACTCAGCTTTGTGATTTTTCACGTGGAATTCTATACAGCACAATTTTACCTCACAATTCTTCATGTCCTTAGAGAGCTTGAAGCCTTTCTTGCCATCACAATAGCAGCTGTAACTTCCCGGTGAGTTCACACAGAGTTGAGCACAAATATTTTCAGCACATTCATCAATGTCTAGGGGAAATTGAAGCACACAGAAAGATTTATTCATGGCACACACTGAAAACTAACACAAATTAATGGARTAATGGACAAGAGAGATTCTCTGGAATAACATGAATCTAAAAGGTGATTTAGTAATCTGAAAGAGGCCTGGAGTGCAGAGCTGGAGACAATTTGTTCTGATTTCTGAGGCATAAKGTGGCTGAATTAGTGAAAGAGACCTCATAAATTGCTATCACAGATGGCACAAATCCCATTCTGGGTCAGGTATCTTCCTTTCCTTATAAGACATGATGGGCACTCAGATTATTAAAAGKATATATGGTAAGTATGTGAAGAAAAGAAGTGCTTTATTAATATAAACCCCAAATAATCTCAGGGCAAAATACCTTTTAAAATAATATACAATAAGCTAATAAACAACTAAATTTCAGACARCGTCTACTTGTGGAGAACAATAGTCTGGTTTGAGCTGTGAGTAAGTTAAATCAGCTATAAGAATTTCATTTTCTATTTAGTAGGTTGTGCAAAATAAATGATTTAGAAATGAAAGGGTGTTTAAAAGGCCAATGTAAATATTGCATTTCTAATACAGAAAGACACAAAACCTCTCCTTGATAAGAGACTTCAGCGAGGGTGATTTGGGCCTCAGATTGAAGAAACTGTAACATTTGTTTTGAAACAAGTAGCCCTTCTAGTGGGGGAAAAAAAATGCATGCATTTAAAACTTGGGGGGTGTAAGATTAAAATCTTTTTTTTTTTTTCTGTTGCTTGGAAGAAGAGAGGTAAGGAAAAAGAAAAAAGATCCTCTTCTGTCCCATTCTAACAGTATCTGTCATCATAGAGAAGCTGTGCATAAATGTATGAAAATTCAATTTTTCTAATGAGCATAACTGAATTTAGCCACCTGCAAGCAATATGACAATGAAAAGCTCATGTAATTTAGTATTTCTGTAAGGTTACATTCCTGTCAGGCTGCACAATCCTGTCCTTAGACAGGATTTGGTGACTCATTTAATGTGGTTACAACAAGGTCTAAAAGCTTAGCAACATAATCCTCCTGCTAGGGAGGTAAGACTTGTCCCATTGGAACATCCTCATCTTGCAACCTCCTGCAATCCAGTAGAAACACAACACTTACACGGGTTRCATCAAATTGAATTTATCTGAAGAAAATCCTAAGAGGAGTAAGAATTAATTCCTGTGAAGTTTTTCTCGCTTCAGTGCATGCAAGAACAGACAATTGTCAGTAGTGCTTTAATCCTGCCGTTAACTGGACAAAGTTGACACCTGGATATGTAATCACYGCCACTGTGCAAGGCTCTGTTACAAGAGACCTGCAGCAAAAGCCATGGAGCAGAAGATTCATGGCCAGCAAGAAGCTTCTTTTCTGTCCTTTTGAGTAGTAACRTAAGGAAGCTTTAAAAATAAAAATCAGTCACTGATAGATTTTTCTTAAACTGGCAATGTAGAAAATTTTTCTTCATTGGAAAACTCCTAGGAGCTTTCATATCTGTTCTAGAACTGAAATTTAATTTCTGATGYGTAGTAAACAGAAACTTTAACAAGTAGAGAGAGATAAAACATATTCTAAGACAAATGTGMAAATACTTTCAACACTTGAAAAGTCAAGTGTCGACCTTTGGCTTCTTGCTACTTTTCTGCTACCTATCAAYAGTTTCCAACTTGGCTGTAAYTGTTGCAGAACCTTGGAAACTTGTRATTACAAATTTTCATTTTAGGAAAGGTTCTTTTGGTGCAGCTCCTTTTTTCATGGTTCTCTCTCTGGATATTTGGGAATAGTTTTATTTGATATTTGAGGTCTTTATAAAAATRTATTTTAATAAAGAATCTTTAGACAAATGCCATGCTGTCATGTAATATAACCTGACAACTTAATAAGCAATTAATTTAATAAAAAATATGTAGATTAAGAAACATACCAGCAGATAAGAAGATGAGTTTGGTATAACAGTGAACAAAAAAAAGGAAAGGGGAAGGGGGAAAATGAAAGATGAACAAGAAAAAGGGGGAGCTGAGGACAAACACCCACCTTCACAGTTCTTGGAAGTTGAATTATATGYGTAGCCTTCTGGACATTCACATTCGTATCTCCCCTGGGTGTTTTTGCAGATGGCTGTCCCACAGATGTTTGGGTGTAGCACACATTCATTTATATCTAGAAATACAAACAAACTATTAAAAAACACTYTTGCACACCATTTTTCTTCCCAAGTTTATCCAACACTGTGCTAACTGAGTGAGGCTGGCAAACTTTCTTGGTAGCTTGACCATGCTTTCACAGCAGACTAGAGCTACAGCCAGAAAGATTTCCAGAGGGCTGTAAAAGCCACTTTTGCATGCCCCCAGTGAAAAAATTCTCTGCCTGCTTACCCTTCCCACCCTCTCATGTGTTTTGTGGGTAACAGGATAAGGCATGTCCAGAAAGATAGAGAGAGAAACAGGCTGCAGATTTCCCATAAATTAAAACCAGACTGCACAATAAAATCCTATCTTAGAAAAAGACATCCAGAAAGACCAGAGATAATCCAATCAGAGGTTCTTCTGTGCTACAATCAATTCATGCCAGTTTTCTTTTAATTGGCTATGCTGATAGGTGTTCAAGTCCCTCACTGTCTCTCTATCCCTCAAACCATTTTACTGTCTCTCTTCTGTCTTGTTTCCAATTCTTCAATGTCATTCTCACAATGCAGATGTGACAACTGGATTCAGGGTATAGTATCAATCTTATCAAGTGTCTTTGAGACAGAAAAACATCAGATCCCTGGTAGTACTTCACTCTCATTTGTGAATGCAGGGGTTATTCTGGTTTTCACTGTGATTTCAGAGCAGTTGTGGAAATGGTGCTGCATGGGGAGAAGAGATTCTCCCACTGGGTTGCTTGGACTCCTGGAACTTTATTAAGTCAAAGCTGCTTTGAATTCAGACTACTTTTCTACATTTACTATGTTGTTTAACAGTTGTTTAACTTTGCAGCTGTATATAACAAAATACTTGAATGTAGTTTATGAAATTATTAAACTAACACTCAAGGCACTAAGATATATCAGACTATTTTTATCTTTATTTTTTATCAGATTTCCAGTATCTTTCCAAGAATTACAGAGGTTCTAACCAACTTCTCTGCTTGCCCTTTTACATAAYAGCACAATCTTCTGTTATTTCTCTGGAAGTTATTAATTCACAAAAATATATAGACTAAACAAAGTGACAGTGGAAGATGGCCATCAAGTTTAGTCTCTTAAATTAATTTGACATTATCCAAAACTGTTGTCATAATTTGGTAACAAAATATGACATTAAAATGAAACAAAGCTGTAATTTTTTCTAACTATGTTGCTAATTATGTCAATATGTAGACTGAATTTGAAATGGAATTAAGCATGTAGGTCATGGCCAATAGCAAATACAAGCATGTACAGGAAAAAATTATGCCGGGTGAATAAAAGTCTTTCTCTCCATTAAGAGAATTTTTGGATTCATTAATACTTTCTTATCCAGTGAACTTCAAACTCTGGAAAGAGCAGCATCAATAATTAGGAGTGATTCATGCTAAACCAGTGTTTACCAGACAGAATTTCCATGGTAACAAYATTAGCTATTCACATCACTTGAGATGCTTGTTTCAGCATGCTTAAAGGACACATGAAACTGAGTAGAGACCAAAGTAASCTTTATGAAGCTTTAGTAATGAAGCAGAACCTCATYTATAGCCTTTTACTCTTTCGTTCTTTCCCCCTTGATCTGGTTCATTATTTGGCTGCCCAAATGYCTGCAGTGTGTAAAGCCAAATTACAGCAGGATTCATCTTTCAGAGGCAATGCGAGAGCATTTATGGAACTATTGGATTAAACCCTCTCCTCTCTCTGGCCAGCAGGCAATGTGGTGTCAGGTAAAGATATTCTCCTGAAGTCTCCCTACCTCCACAATCTCGCTTGTTGGAATGCATRAAGTAGCCATCTTCACACAGACAACGGAAGCTTCCAGGGAAATTGGAACAGCGCTGGCTGCAGCCTCCATTGAAGTCTTCACACTCATTTATATCTACAAAGAAAAGGCAATAAAACTCTCTGCTGAGAGGAAGRCATTCATTGACCAGCTGTGATTCAACAGTAGAACTATAACTGTGCTCCTGAGAACCATGAAAGACTGTACCTTCCTCACAGTTCTCTCCTCTCCATCCTGGTTTACAGACACAGGTATAYCTGGCTTGTCCATCTATGCAATCCTTATATCCATCTTTATGGCATGGCAGAGGGCTGCACTGGTTTGAAATTTCTGCAGATGGAAAGCATGGAAAATCCTTGTTATCTGAGGTTATTTGGCCTCAAGAATCACTTTAGACTTTTTTCTTCTCTTCCTATCTGTCATGGAATAGGAAAGGTCTTGATGAATAACACGAAGTACCCTCATGGCAATCTTGCTACTCATTCTGTCAGTAAGAATTTTTATGTGACTGAGAACATACAAACCCACCACTACTTTTTCTGTATCAGGCAGAAAATTACTAGAAGACAAATTAGTTGCTAAGCCATGCTAATCCMTGCAAGCTGTGAAAAGATTTGATATTATTTTCATTACATTTTAAGGATGTATTTCAGTTTTTAAAGAATAGTGAGTGCTCTGCCCCATCATATTACTACAACTCTCACCAGCAAGGTGAACATTTCAAGAATTCAAGATTACAGAGTTGAGTTTCCCTGTTCAAGAGAGGTCACACAAAGAAACTGATAATTTATTGCATTACTATAAACTGATCTGGAAAACATGTTCAGCCATGACCATGTGCAGTGYAATTATTAAGGATTTTTTTTGTCTTCCATTGCTTTCAATGATAAAAACAATGTCAGATGGCTATGGATAAGCATTCCTATTCAAACTAACTGAAATTTTCTTTGATATAACAAGGCTATAAAAGTTTAGGAGGTTTAGAGAGATGTTCAAACTGCGACAAGCAGGGAATATGGTAAGAATGGCTTGCTGTGAATTTACTAAAAAGAATACAATTCACACTGCAGCTGTGAATGTATAGGCATAAAAATCAAAAATTTACATGTTTTGTGACCTTTTGTTTGGAGTCAATGACTGTGCTCCAGATAATATTGGAAGTTTTCAGCTTGCAATGTTATCCACTTCATGAAGGCCTGCAGTGTAACTACRGGCCAAATAGAGGTAAAAAGGACAATYAACAAGACAGTCTCTTAYCCCACCTGACAGAGCATGACTTGCYAGAGYGAAAGGGTTTGGTACAACTGTTAAAGGTGTAGTAGAGTACAGAGGACACACTGGGGAACATTGGTGGGTTGGTATAGGATACTTGCGTTTGCAGAAGCGCTACGCTTTCCATTTTGCAGTTAATTATGTTTCTTTAACTTTATAAACTTAAACMCAGTCAGTTAAACTGCTTTCTCTGGAAATGCTCTGTCTCACCTCATATTTTTTGGTCAATTTCTGGCTTAGATTATTGAGTTTGCCTGACTTAAATGGTTATTTGTCTCCTTTTGTGTCCCTGTGAACTGCTTTTTAGCCAGTGTGTGCTCTTAGAGGTGAGTGCACAGGTAACAGTTGCGACATCAGCACTTACCCTTGACACAAGCCCTCAGGTCAGCTGGAGARTCTGGAGTGACTGCAGCCACCTTGAACACCCCGGCTCGATGGGAGGCAAGGCAGCCTGCAAATGCAAAGACACACAATCTGCTCAGCGTACAAACACTCATTTACACTGAAATTACACCACTTGATGCATGRCATCTTCAAAGGGCCCGTTCTCACAGCTTGAATTACAAAACTGGTCTGGACATGTTAAGGACAGCTGATCACAGACCAACCTTCAGAGTGTCTCTGTGAGGATCTAAGCACACAGGACATTCTCTGCATTATAATCAGCATGGAAATCATTCCAGTGCCACAGGCAGAATATCTAAACCAGTATTATCCAAATGAAAGCATCACTGAATGATTACTAGAGTTGTTTAGAGTTTTTTTTGTACTTACTTAAGTATTTGGGATAAAAATATTCCTGCAGAAAGAAAAGACAAATAAAGGCTAAGAAAAATTTCATCTATATAAAATTACAGCAAAACACATCACTGAATATGTTCTAAAATATATTGGTGTTATGACTACAGAAGAAGAAAAAAGTTACTTTGACTCATAAAATAAAGGTCTGGTTTTCTATATCACTGTTGTTTGGGCTAAAACAGATTATCTAATACACACAAGACTCAGTGGAGAGATTAAAACACTGCACCGAACTGGACACTTGTGAAGGCGATGAAAATKAATTGGGTGTCAAAATTACTCTGCAAATTGTCTCTTTAAAAAGGAGAATCCTACCCAATGTTGTTATTGGGAGCTATGAATTCTATGTGTTTTTATCTTTCCCTCTGAAAAGAACTACTGTCTATGTCATAGATACTCATAAGATACTTACCGTTTCAGGATTATTTTCGAAGATTTCCCTGGCTTCTTCCCTATTGCATAATTCTTCAATGCATTCTCTTTCTAGATTTCCCTTCTTACTTTCTTCCATGAAAGAGTTTGCTCGCCGTTTYCTCAGCAGGAACTGAGAGGCATACTGCTGGGATAAAACTTGGGAAAAACAAAGCAACTCTTTTATTATTCATCTTTTTTTTTGTAACAGCTGAAAAATCCTGCAAATACTGAGAAAATATGAGAATCTACCAMAAAAATCTGAATTAAATGCATAGTYGGGAATTCATGTTTGCTGTCATTTTGATAAATGAGCAAGAAATTCTAGGATTCTGTATWTGTGGGAGCTGTTTCTGATCAAAAAATCCTTAATCCTTATTCTATGCTATTGATCCTTAATAGCAACRATGCCTGAAGCATAATTTTAGTGTTCTACTCAGGACAAGATTAAYTTTTTTATTTTTTACATTATGGTTATTACAATGTTAGATATGTGACCAACAAGTCAATTAAAAAAGCTGAAAAGCTTTTTAACCTGTTTCAGTGATCTGCAAGTAAATATTCTGAGTCTACTTATGTGAGACCAAAATTCTTGTAAAAAAGTCAGGCTACCTGTCACATGTAATTAATACAAATGTCACWYTACTTTGCAGAACAAGACAAAGGTGAGAATGAAATAACGKGAATATGAAGGCAGGCAACCTAAAGACATTCACATTTGACCAAGGTAAAATAGAATCTTAGCTAGCTTTTATATTTCAGAACCAGCATGTTATGAGTCATTGCTTAATTTTCACGTATCTGGTTATTGTCATTTTAGTGACTTTTAACAAATGGTGAAGTTTGTTACCAAACTTTCTGACAGTTTGGTAACTGTCAGAAATGACACTAAGGATGAAAGATGTCTGCTTCAATGTTCTTTACAGAGCACACAACACTCCAGGAACAGCCACTACATTAGACTGCCTGGTTTAATTTTTGGATATAGCTTGTGATCAAGAGAAAAATAGATGAGTATGACTGGAGAAAGTCCAGCTGATACAGATGACAGATGCTAACTAGAGACACCTCTACTTCTTTCAAGCGCACCTGCGCTTCTTTCATCAGCCTTTGCACAATTTAACCTTTCAGAGCAGCCCAAC